GAGCGTGAGCTGCGCTTGCAGCCGAGTGACTGTCCTTGTATTTCTCCATGTAGATTGTACACCTGGTTTTGCAGCTCCAACCAGAAGAAAGATAACTGCTCGGTCTCCTTAGGGATGACTTTAGTTCACTTGCAGTGTCATTGATTCTGTTATTTTCTCCTTCTTTTTTCAGGCTCTGATGACGGCAGGAAAGGAACCGTTTCCTACTATTTACGTGGATTCGCAAAAAGAGAGCGAGGTGCTGTCGCGTTAGAGCTTCCTAGTTGAAATTATGTTAATGTTCCTTTGTGTGAAGGGACGCAGAAGTAATCTTTTCTCTTCTGCTTTCTCCTTGGATTGATTTAGAGATGGGCCATTATTTCAAAGTCACAGATGAAAAATGTCAAAAAACTGTGGCACAGGGAACAAATGAAGAATGAAGCTAAGGAGAAGAAGGAGGTAGGTCGCAGGTGATGCCAAGTTGGGGGAAGCATACCATCTTTCTCTTCAACAGCATTGTTGTCATTCCCAGCCCTCCAAAAAAGCTTCAGTCTGTTCTTTATCTGTGTCATTGTTTTACACGTACGTTCCTTACAGCTTGCCTTTGTTTAGATTAGGACAAACCAGTGGCAGAAACTGGGTGAGGTTTGAGCAATGGCAGTCTGTTGCCTTTGGACTTTCTGGAAAAAGTGAGAAATGCATCTTGCATCGTTTCTCATCCTGGTCCTGAATTAGGGCAGGTGTAGGCCACAGCAGGGTCGTGTCAGGGCTCTTTATGACATCTGTGTCTGTAAGTGTATGTTAGAATCTCCAGGAGTTGTAAAGAGGGGGAATCTTGTAAAGCCTGGTTACAGCTATTGAATACCTTTTTTTTTTTTTTTTTTTACACCAGGCAGAAGATCTCTTGAGAAGAGAGAAGAACCTGGAGGAAGCTAAGAAAGTTGTGATCAAGAGTGATCCTAGTCTCCCAGAGCCCAAATGTGTAAGATCTGGTGCGGTTGATACGCAGCCTGTGTTACTGCGTCTTGTCTGCACAAAGATCCAGGCTGGCTTGGCTGGGTGTCTCTGGCAGCTGTTGGAGGCCACTGTCGTTTTGCTGTCCATAGATGTAACCTTGTTATCTGGTTATCTGTGTCCTCTAGTGTGTAGACTTTGGTCATTCATGTGCACTTGGTGGGTATCTGAACCTTCTTAGCTCATACATCAGACTTCTCTGTGTTTGTCTACTGGTAGAGACCATATTTCTGTTTGAGAAAGCTCGTTAGTTTTGCTTTGGTAGTTTATCGTAGTGGTGGAGAGTGAAGAAACAGTGCTGGTTAGAGGATGCAATTTATGGAGACATGTTCTTATTTGGCTGTTTGTGGAGTCGTGCTGGATTTGGTGATGTGGTGCAGTCCTTGGCTTAGCAAGCAGATACTACATATGCTGCTGTGCGATGCGTTTTTGGACAGACCCTGTGCAGAAAGGTTCTGTGTACGTGGATGGAAGCTGTTTTTGAGTGGAGCCCTGTGCTCTGGTGGCTGCTCTTTGGGAAGGGGCGGCTGGGCCCAGCTGTGCTGAAATCACAGTGGTGCTGGAGCAGTCCTGAGGCAGGATCCAATCTGCAGGTGCCTGCTGGGTTCATTGTTCGGACTGTAGCTGCGTCACTACCTCAGCTCCGTGTCCAGATGTACCCCTGTTGGATCCAGGTCCTCTGCTAACTGAACTCATCTATTGGATGTCATCAGAAATGAATCCAGCGTGCACTTGGAGTGCCAGAAACTATCCTTCCCAGTCTGGTGGTGATAGAATTCACCTTGGATTTCCTGTAGTACCTGAGTACCCTAGTCTTAAGGTGTGAGCTGTTAGGTGTTTTCACTTCTTCTGGTCAAATGCAAAGTGAGCTGCTTTAAAATCTCTCACAGTCCTGAGTTCCTCCACGACAAAGTAAGCCTGCTAAACAGAAAGGACTCAATGTGAAGTCTGGAAATGGTGTCCCAGTGTACTGCCTGTGATACAAATGGTGACAGTGCTCTTTCCTTACTACACAGCTGTTCAGAATTCACAGCTGTGCTCCTACCCTGGATGAAACTTGGCTTCAGGTGCTGCTGAGAGGAGCTGTTTTGGGGAGGGGGATGTCGTATACACTTGTAGTCTAAGTAATGATGTGGAAAACGCCATTTAAATGGTGAATCGTTTCTCTGATTGCTTTTATTCCCTGGCTTACAGGTAAAGATTGATGCTCTGGAAGCGTACAGAGGCCAGAGAGTGAAGATTTTTGGCTGGATTCACAGATTACGGAGACAAGGTAAACCAAAAGCATTTAGAAGTTACTGAACCTGTGCAGAGAGATGGAGCAAACTCAGTAGCCTTCAAAATTTGGACACTTACAATGAATCAGACAGCAGCTATTCTTAAATTTTAAAACTGTCAGCTAGATGTCCTCTTTGGTTTATCACAGTGGTCACTACAACACCACAAATTCTGCATGATGTGTGAGCAAATTGACATTTCTTACTTGAAATCTTGTGGGATTTTCAGTTTGGAGGTCAGTCTTGCAGAAGTTCTTCAAAAGACTTGTTTTGTGTGTTAAACTAATCCTGCAAAGCATCTGCTCATTGGGAGATCAGCAAATTGGAATTCCAAAGTTATATAAAGTAGCATGACTTCTTTTAAAATAAGTTGAGGCAGTAATACTTGCTATCACAGTGATTGGTGTTTTAGTTAGCGAGGTGGGGGCGTGGAAGCTCAGGGCAGAGATGGTTCTGCCTCTGCAGGTATTTTTTCAAATTACCACTGAAGGACTTGACTAAGCGGTTGTGGATCTGGGTGTTGTGAGCAGTTTCTAGCGAATTGTTTTTGTAATTGGATGCTTTTGTGGAGAGGTGGGTGACCAGGGTGACGTCACCTTACCCATGTCGAGTGTACCTGGGGCCTGCGCAGTCGGCAGTGCTGCAAAGACCTGGGACCCCTTGGGACCAGAGGGACACCTCAGGTCACGGCACGGCCACGCACTCCCAACCCTCTTGATGTCTGTTGAAACTTACTTTAACTTGTTATACAGAATACAGCTCTGAAAGGCTTCTGTGCCTGTGGTAATGCTTCAGTGCTTCCCTGGAGCATCTTTGGGTTTTAAGATGGAAGAATGTGATCATAGTCCTTCTGTAATAATCTGCACATCAGTGATTAATGTCTGTCGGGAGTGGGTCTGTTCGAATGGATCGGTGAATAATCAGGTGTTTTGTCTTCTCTTTTTAACTAGGAAAAAATTTGATGTTCATTGTTTTGAGAGATGGCACAGGTTTTCTTCAATGTGTCCTTTCAGATGAACTGGTAAGTTGTGATGATTTAATTCTCTTCTGTCATTAATTAAGTGAGGTGCTCAGACCTCATCCATTTTTCTTTTATCTAGATGATTGGAAGTTCCCCATAACCTACTGGTTAAATTGTATTATTGTTAAATTGTGTCTCCTACCACTAGAGTATTTTTGTCAATGTGAGAACTATTAGAAGTGACTGTTAATTTTGTCTGTGACTCCAATAGATACAGGAAAACTAAAAGTAAAATATTTACCTTAACTGTGCCTTTGTCTCTTTTTCTCTCTGCAGTGTCAGTGTTACAACGGGCTAATTCTCTCTACGGAGAGCAGTGTTGCAGTGTATGGCACACTGAACCTTGTTCCTGAAGGCAAGCAGGTACGGGAGTTGGTGCATTTGGGTTCTCTTCCTCTTCAGCGGTTTATTGTTTTCCTGACGGAAGGAGAAGTGGGGGTGGAAATAACTATTAAATAATTTTGGTGGGAATTTGGCTTGGAGAAAAGAACCTCGCAAAGCTGCTGCTGTCACCCACGGGTCAGTGTGTGACAGGTGAACTATGTGACTGTTCTGCTTTTGCCTGAAACAATTTTCCATTACGTCCCATAGATATTTCCTAGAATATAACAGTGGAAAATTATGTGAAATAAATGACATAGCTTATTTTCCCTAACAAGGGGTTTATTCAGTCTTTATTTTGTGAGGTGAAGAATTTGGCATTAGCTCTCTTCTGTTACTGAGGTGAGTTAGTAGGCTCCTCACCGTGTTGTACTTGTTCCCCAGCACGTGGCAGCATATGAACTAGGCAGTTTATTATAACTCCTCTTATAAAACTTTGTTCGTAGTGGTGGTCTCAGGTTAATGGCTGGGCAAGTGTGATCGTAGGTTTCAAAATATGATGCTGCTTATGCGTTGTGCCTCTCTCATTCCAGTCTAGATCCGCACAGTTGCTGTTTGGAAAACTGAACCTGGAGTTAGGGCTAAAGCCATGCTAAGCAGCTGTGCATGAAGGGTGGCCTCGGGAAGAGGAGTCAAACTGAAGGCAGGAGAGAAGCTTTTAGGAACCGTTATCGGTGACAGCAGTTTGGTGCGCTCATCAGGACATGCAGGCCTATGTCAGGATATTCATTGGCAATTATTTCTGGTGCTTTGTAGATATTTCAGTTTTCTTGTAAGCCTTGTAGTGTTGGCCGTTACTGGCATGCTTTGCGAATGAAATTTGGATGGACTTAATTGTTCTAGTTGTCCCTTTCGCTCAGGTCCCATTCCCAAGAGCTCGACCTGTGGTTAGAGCCACGCTCAGTTAAATGTGAGCCTGCTCCCTGTGGTGCTTGCCGATCAGAAGTTAGCAAGGTTTCCTTTCCTTCATACCTTATGGCACTTCTGAAAACAAATGCAGCCAAACAGGGATCACTTTTTTTAAAATTACTTTTATGCAGTTTAGTAATCATAAGTAACTCATGTACTGCTCAAAACATGAAGTATTTTCATGTCTTATCACAACGATACCGTGCTTTTAATGAACAAAACCACCAGGTTTGTAAAAAATCTGTTGATTAGACTTTGAAAATCTGTATTTATACCCTGAAAATACTGTGAATGAAAAAAATACCGTTTTAGGGGACAGAAGCTACTGGACCCACACGGGGGAGCTGGTGAGACCAGAAGTGAAGAGGTCTGGTCTGCAGCCGGGCAGCGCTGAGCCCTGGTGGGGCCGCTGCGAATGGGGCAGGGGAGGGTTGCACATTGTGGGCAGATGCTCCCTAGTGCCGAGACATCACTCAGGTGTCTCCAACAGACAAACTCACAAGTACCCGTAGTGAGCTGGTTCTTCCTCCGTTGTGATCTAAGCGACTTTTTTCAACTTTTCTGAAGTTTGCCATCCAGTAGGAGAACGTGGCTCAAGTAGTACAAAGAACAAAATACCTTGTATGTTGAACTGCAGTCTTGGGTCTGCCTTTTCTTCTAACAGATGGGAGGACTCCACTCTGTGTGTGTGTAGTGTTCTTAAGGTGTATGGGAAGGTTCTTTGTGCCAGCGTGCTGTCTCGTAGCACTGTACAGACCATGAAGAAAACTATATCTCAGCCAAAATTAGCACACAGAGTAAGTTATCACAGAATAGTTTAGTTGGGAGGAACCT